GTAGTCACTAGTGTGATGTTATAAAAGGTATTATCACATTTGAAATTGTACAGGGTTCAAAACTAATGTATTGTATGTGAAAACTGTGTGACTATTATTTTAAGTGTCAATCGACTGTAACGGATTCAAGTTCACTATAGAAATTGACATATTATACATATCTATATGGTAAATGATATTATGAATGTATAAATGCATGTGATTTCTGTATCTATTGATTTATGTTTGGTGAAAATGAGGCATAATTATAAATGATAATATCAATGTTGCAAATATATTTGACTCATGTGTAAATGCAATATGCTTTCTTGATATATAAATGATACGAAGTAGGGAGTATGTGTTTAGAGTAAATGTTGTTATAAATGATACGAAGTACTACCTCCGTCCCAGTGAATTTTGCCAAGTGAAAAGTTGGTGAGAAATAAGAATAGTTAAAACTGTGTGGTTGAGATTTGTGCAGAAAAGAGAGAAATATGCAGAATCACAAATTAATTGCTTTAATAGGAAAATGACAAAATTTTTTGGGGCAACAAAAATGGAAAGTTACAAAATCCAATAGGACAGAGGGAGTATGTGTTTAGTGTCATTTTTCATGTTTAATATTTAGTCCATTTCATCAATGACGTAAGTGTAATACAATTGATCTTCAGGATAATTTGAGTTTGCATCCCATTTTATCATGAAAATTGGACTTTGCACCCTATTTTTTAAAATCTTTGCTTTTGCAACCCAACCCCATATGAAAAGACAAAACGCCCTTGATCAAGAATATGTTGAAGGCCAACAAAATTGTTAATGGAGTGACATTTTTGTCTTTTCATATGAGGTCGGGTGCAAAAACAAAGTTTTTTAAAAACATGGTGTAAAGTCCAATTTGCACAATAAAATAGGGTGCAAACTCAAATTATTTTTGGATTGCACCGTTAATTTTGATTTTTGAATAAACCCGTGGAACTGCAGCAATTCTGGACAACACGAACTATTAGCATTTCAGTATTCGGACGAGGGAAGAAGAAGATAAGAATTTCTCATTATTGTTTAAAGATAAAGTACAGAGAGTTTATATGTAGTCCAAGAATAGAAAAGTCAAAGATACGAGTATAACAAACTAACAAAGTCTGCCTAACAAACTAATACAAGCAAAAATATGCTGCAGATGTATCTACGTTCATTCCGTGAGGATGCATATCCTTATGCATTCGTTAATACCCTCCCTCAAGCTGGATCGTAAATGGAATGAAGACCAAGCTTGGAGATAGTACGTTGAAAGGTGGTGGGATATAGGGCCTTAGTGAATGAATCAGCAACTTGATTTTCTGAAGGCACATAAAAGAGCTTGATCAATCCTTCATCAACTTTGATTCTTATAAAGTGGCAATCAACTTCTACATGCTTAGTTCTCTCATGGAATGAAGGATTTTTAGCTAGTTGTATAGCTGATTGGCTGTCACTGTATACACAAAAAGGCAGTGGAGTGTTGATGTTCATGTCTTTAAGTAAAAACTGAAGCCATTGCAGCTCACAGCTTAAAGAAGCTAAAGATCTGTACTCTGCTTCAGAAGATGACCTGGAAACAGTGCTTTGCTTCTTGGATTTCCATGAGATGAGAGAATTCCCAAGGAAGATGCAAAAACCAGTGATGGATTTTCTTGTGGTTGGACATGTGGCCCAATCGGAATCAGAAAAAGCTTGAATATTTGAGGTATTATCTGAAGGATAAAAAAGTCCAAGGCCAGGGGATGTTTTCAAGTATCTGAGAATTCTGAGTGCTGCATTGAAGTGGGAATCTCGTGGATCAGATACAAACTGACTAAGATGTTGTACTGTAAAGGATATATCTGGCCTTGTGTTGGTAAGATATATTAATCTTCCAATTAGCCTGCGGTAAGAAGTGGGGTTACTGAGTGGTGTTCCAGAATTTGGAGTAAGTTTGGTTGAAGGATCTAGGGGTGTAGATGCAGGTTTGCAACCTGTGAGACCAAACTCATCTATAAGCTCCAAGCAGTATTTTCTCTGATTTATAACCAGTCCTTGCTTAGAACGTGCAACTTCTAGTCCAAGAAAGTATTTGAGATTCCCTAGATCTTTGATGTGAAACTGAGTGTGCAGATGGTTTTTGACTTTTGTGATCTCTACAAAATCATTTCCAGTGATGATGATATCATCTACATAGATGAGGAGGAATGTAACATGAGAACCAGAATATTTGAAAAGAGAGAGTAATCTGCCGAGCTGTTAGTATATCCAATGTGACTGAGTGCAGATGTTAATTTCTGATTCCATTGCCTGCTTGCTTGTCTGAGACCATATAAGGATTTGTGCAGTTTACATACAAGATCAGATTTAGAAGGGAGAAGTCCTGGTGGAGGAGTCATGTAAACTTCTTCAGTCAATGAACCATGTAAAAATGCATTGTCAATATCAAGCTGCTGAAGGTGCCAACTGTTGATGGATGCTATGGATAAAAGTAATCTGAGAGTGGTTAATTTGGCAACAGGAGAATATGTCTCAAAGAAATCGATCCCCTCAGTTTGTGTGAAGCCTTTTGCTACTAACCGGGCTTTGTATCTTTCAATAGATCCATCAAGTTTGAACTTGACTTTATAGACCCACTTACAACCCACAGTTTGTTTGCCTGGAGGTAATCTAACTAAGGACCAGGTTTGATTATCCTGAAGAGCTTGTAGTTCAGCTGTCATGGCATTCCTCCAACATTCCTGTAGGTTGGCTTGTTTGAAGGTTTTTGGTTCAATAGAAGTGGATATGTTATTACAGAAGTTGATATGATTTTTGGAACAATGGGAAAGATCAAGATATGACTCAAGTTTATATGGAGTGGAAACTGAAGTTTTGGAAGTACCACAATAGTATGAACTAAGATATCCAGGTGGTTTTCTATTTCTGGAAAGTGGTGAGTGATGTGAAGTATGGTCAGAAATGTCACCAGTGAATTCTGAATTAAGGATGGGAGATGGTGTTTGGCTGTTTTCAAAGCTATAATCATATGAAGTGGATTCAGTAGACTGATGAAAGGGAAAGTCTGTCTCACAAAAGACAACATTCCTTGAAACAAATACATTTGAAGCCAAGAAAAATACATTTAATGGCTCTTTTGTCTAATTTTGTTCTGCCCGATGAAAGGGTGCTTGAATAGGCAAGGCATCCAAAAGGTTTAAGGAGGTGAAGGTCTGGTTTAGATTGATGAATGATTTCAAAAGGGGATTTTTGGTGAAGAATAGGGGTAGGTAACCTGTTTATGATATGAACAGCATGTCTAACAGCAAAAGACCAGAATTGATGGGGAAGTTTGGCTTGGAAAAGTAAAGCTCTAGTTGTATTGAGGATGTGTTGATGTTTCCTTTCAACAATGGAATTTTGTTGGGGACATTCAACACAAGATGTCTCATGTAGTATTCCAAGACTTTGATAAAAATCAGAAAGAGCAAACTCTTTTCCATTGTCTGATCGAATGTATTTCAAGTGAGAGTTAAACTGATTGTGAATAAGAGTTATGAAAGGTATGAGTAAAGACTTGACATCAGATTTGAGTTTTAGGGTATGAATCCAAGTGAATCTACTAAAATCATCCACGATGGTTAAAAAATATTTATAGCCATCAATGGAGGTAGTAGATAATGGTCCCCAAATGTCAACATGAATCCTTTCAAAAAATTGTTGAGATTTGGTGGAACTGGTAGGAAATGGAAGTTTCTTTTGTCTTGAGAAATGACAAATGTCACAATTATCAAAAGGAGAAAAAGAAATATCAGCATATTGATTAGAAAGCTGTTTAAGTACAGTGTTTGAAACATGACCTAATCTCAAATGCCAAGACAAAGAAGAAGAATCTGGATGTGTAACATCTCTTGTGACTTTATTTACAATACTGGAACTATGTAGACAATTATTACAAGTATTGAAAGATGTCTCATAAACTGGATGATTTGTAAAAGGTAAACAGTAGAGTCCTTGAAGCTTTTTAGCTTGTCCAATCGTCTTCAAAGACTTCTTCTGCAAGGAAACAATTAAGTTCTGAGAATAGGACCACACATGAATCAGAGGAAACAAGTTTGGGAATAGAGATAAGATGGGAGTGAAATTGTGGTACAAAAAGAGCATGATGGAGAGTAAGATTCCCAATGTTAACTGTACCAGACTGATGTGCTGTAACAAAAGAACCATTAGGAAGACTTATATGGATAGGGGGAATGGATATAAGAGAAGAGAAGAGATTTTGAGATGGGCAAATGTGGTCAGTAGCACCACTATCTAAGATCCAAAATAAAGAATGAAAAGAAGTACCAGGAAGATGTAGTGGACTGGTGTTGGCTTGATTGACAGAGTGAGGTGTTTCTGAAAGAGTGGTCTGTTGGAGAAGTGCCATGATCTTGTGATACTGCTCTTGAGACAAAGAAAACTGATTCTGAGTTAGGTTATCTGAAAGACATTGTGGCTGTGAGTTTTCAGCAGGATCAATAGAAGCCATGTTGACAGATGATGAGTTGGTTGCATTGACATTTTTCAAACAAAATTTGCATTCGTTAATACGAACAAAATTTGCATCAAACGCAGAAAACATCAATTTAGTAAGAAATGATGGAGGAAATTGGAAAATGAGAATTTTTTAAAAAAATAGTCCCTCGATTTGATCGGGAGATATGCATACTCGATGAAGAACCATTTGTTGTGTACATACATTTTCTATACTTTTTGTGTACACTCCTAAATTGTCTATCTATAAGATAATTAACTTTTGAACTAATTGTCTAAGTGAATAGAGAATTAAGATGTGTACATAAAATGTGTACAAAGTATGTGTACCTTGTGCTAGATGCTTAGCATCTTGTAGTTAGATGACATTAGTGGGACACTTCAAGGAATAAGTTACAGTTTCGAAACTCATCTCAATCAAAAATGTTGTCATTTAATAGAAGATATTATGAGAAAAGAGAAAATTCAACCAAAAACAATATTTTTGCTAGATTAATTAGCAAAAGTGGAGGACAAAAACAAATTTTTCATTAATTGCTTAGAGTTCTTCATAACACACCTTTAGCCATGTATACTAATGGTAACTAGAGTTTTTTTTAATCGTAACTAAATTCCATTTCCAACATTCAGCCATTCTATTATCATCAAAAATTATAAATTACTCCTTCATAGTAATGTTAATCAATCATTAAGTGCCAATCTAGCAAACAACGTACGGGCGTGGTACGGCCGCAGCAGACGCGGTGGCCGGTGGAGGCAATCTGCTCAACCAGACACAATTCTCTCGGCAAGAAGAGCTAACTGCTCCGCCGAGCATATGCAGCAGCCTTTCGAATAAAGCGCCCTCTGAGCCACCGGCGAGTTCACCGCCACAAACAACATCCGTTGCCGGTTGAGCTCGGCGATTGGCCCGAGAGTGCTGTGCGGTCCAGGGCCAAAGTTTCCAAGTGAGGAAAGATCTCCACAAACCGGCATGCTCTGGAGGACCAAAACCTGCGCCTGGAGGAACTTGACGTATTTGTAGGCCTCCTCCAGCATCTTCTCCCTCTCCATCTTTCTCTCCCACGGCATCAGCTTCTCGAGCTGCCGAATCTTCTCGCCTTGCTTCTGCCTCCTCACTCTGGCGAGTTTGCTGGATCTGCTCTCACTCCTCTTCCTCACTAACGCTGGTTTCTCGCGCGGATGGTAGAGATTCGTCGGAATCTGGTAATTTCTGGTCGTTTTCTCGGGAATGTAAGGCGGAGGTCGGAATCCGAAATCGGTATTCACAGGAACCGGTTGAATTTCCAATGATCGGAGATCAGGAAAGTGACGAACCAAGCGGAAATCGGTATTCACAGGAATCGGTTGATTTTCTAATGATTGGAGATCAGGAAAGTGACGAACCAAGCCGAAATCGTTGGGAAAGTGAGCAGAGAAATTTGAGTCAATATCCGTGGAAATAGCGCCGCCTCTATTGTCGTATGCATTGGAACCGAACTCCTGTTGAGGACCTTTCAACTTCAGCTCCAAATCTACACCATCGCTACCGAGTCGACTTAGAGGAGTTAGAGCCGACTGTGACGGGAAAGCATTGGATGATCGGAGAGTCAGATTTTCCGGAGAGCCAGAAACATTAGGACGAACGCCAATAGCCTGAGATAACTGCAACAGAGGCCTCTGTTCTTCTGTGTTGAGGCTCAAACTCAGAAGATCCCGGAAGCTGATCTGCTCACCGTCAATATAGGCTTTGTCGTCCACCGGCATAGTCAACGGCGGAGCAAAAACACATCCGCCGCCGTTGAAGGCCGATTCCATTTCCATTTCCATCTTCATATTCAAATCTAGGTTAGAATTTCTGCAAAGGTATTCGCGGAGAGGAAGTTATATACGGAGTGATTCGCAAAAGGACACGCGGGGCTGGGGATACGACAGGGAAAACAAACGGTTTTTTTGCAGTGGCGCCAGATTTCAGGTGCCTCACGCTTTTGAGTGTACTGGAGAGAGAAAGTAGCGTTTTAACGGAGTTCATTTTATACGGAGTATTTGAAGCTGTTTGTTTTCCTCCGTTCGATTAAAACAACGCCGTTTGGCCTCGCTTGTGGCCAGCTCAGACAAGGACAAAAGAGCGGGAGTACGAAATGTGTAGGACAAGGGTATAATTGGCTATTCACATTTCTTTTTGGACAGAATTTTGGTACCGAGTAATTAATATGGAGCCAGAGAGGCGAGATGTTTCAGCCTTTCCGGCAAGGAGGAAGAGGGAGTGATTGTGGCTGTATGCCACAAACAAGGCATACCTGCTTAATACTCTCTAACTTTTGTAACTTTCCCTTACAATTAATTAATTTATTTATTTATATTTGGTACAAGTATTGTAGTCCTTATAAGTTATATAAGTGACGACTGAATATTATAAAAGGTGTTCAACTTCTACCTCTTTGATTTGGAGTATCCAATGTAAAATTGGCAAACTTTACCAATTTATACAATGAACTTGTTCAAAATACATGTGAGTGTGATGAATATTCAATGTAGAATTGTAACTTTTCTAAATATTATAAATATATTGCGATTATGGGTTCAATGTGAATTGTATATAATGTGACTGCTAAAATTTTTATTATGACCATTGAAGATAAACAGTCATATTTTATGTGTATCCTATAACTATATAAGTAGTATTTAGTCATAATCTCCCTCTCTCTCTCTCTCTATATATATATATATATAAACAAAATGGTGGGAGGGGGATATGGTTGAGACAGTGTAGCATTTAGTGTAGGATCTTGTTAATGCGGTAGCCAAAGTTCTACCCAGAATACACAAATCGTGCACGATATATTTCCAAAAATTAGCAGTTTAAATTCTACCGCAGTGAATAAAAAGATAGTTTTGAGAAACAATAAGAGCATATAATGAGAGAGATTTAAAATAATTTTTCAACAATATAAATATAGTATCAACGGCATCAGTCGATACTTTTGTAGCACATAATCTTAGAGGTTTTTGTCGAGCTTTATGCCAAGCTTCCTTACACACACTAAATGTAATGTTATTATTAAGAGATAATTATCCTAGCTTAACTGGGACAACCCTTAGCTTCAATGGTTACATCATTTAAGCAAGGTCTAAACATCTACTCTATATGTTAGATCATATAAGATGTGCTCTACTAGAAATACTAGTGGTGAAAAAGCAATTGAAGAAACGCATTGAAGATGATCGAGTTCCTATGATACCTACTAAATTATCAACGCAAAAGTTGAAAGAATACATTTTTTCTTATTATATATCCCTTCATTACATACATAATTTCAAGTAAGGCATATTCTAGATAAATTGTGGGAAAACAAACATGCACATATTGGACGGAAATGGGATCTCACGGGTATTCATGTTCTTTTCATGCAATATCTTGTCTTTCTTTTATGAGAATGAAGGCTGATGAAGATTGTGTCCATTATTACTATAACGTCTATAAGAGAGATGCCTACTTAAGGAGTTACACTCGTAAAATTGATCCATAATCAGAGGTCGAAATATATTGGCCAATATCATATTTTTTACTCTATGCCCTTCGCCCCTTCCTAACAAAGAAGGCCTTGGAAGGCCACAAAAGAAAAGAAGTAAGTACCCTCACGATCCTAAAAAATCACCCTATTGCCAAGATGTGATAGGGAGATGCATTACACTATTATAGCATGTGTAAGCCAAATGGACACACAAAAAGAAAGTGTAATAGTAAATGTGATGAGCTGCGCGCACAACCACTTCAAAGAAGCAAAGAATTGAAGGAGGCCTAGAAAGGTATCACTTGATGACGAACCTTTTTTCTCTAATCACCATTCGTGTGTTTGCCAACCTTCAAATACGAGTAGGAATGGAATGAATATCTCTTACGATCGTTTTTTAAACAACTAACTGGGTGTATTGTTTAAAAAATCCAGATTCCAAGTGGATTAAAATAATGGCATGGGCCAATGAAATATATTATAGGTACGGCACTATTATCCTTCTTAATTGCACTTACCCTTACCTATACCCCTACCACTTATCATTTACCCTTGGTCCCTTGCTGTTACTCTTATCCCGACCTTACCCTTACCCTTACCCTTACCCCGTACCCTAACCCCCACTACATCTTCTCGTACTCGTACTCGTGCGCGTAACTTACCCCTACCCCTACTCCCTACCTGTTCCCTGTACCCGGCCCGTAAGTAAAAAGTCCTTGTATGAAAAATAAGAATAAATCGTGGCCTATACGTTCGTATTGGAGCATTAAATGGCTAAGATACAATGACATACCATTATTTCGGTCAGAACCAGCTTTGGGCCCTAGGAAGGTAGGCACTTGCATAGGGCACCACTTGGAGATGGGGCACCATTTTTTAAAACTAGTATTACATAGTATTGCTAATTATGTACATACGTATTAGTTAAAATGAAAATATTGTATTGAAAATTTGGAAAACACAAAAAGTGCATTAGTCTAAAAAAGACCCACTAACCCCACTAACCCATCACCCATACGGCCATTCTCTCATACCCTATTAGGCTATTACTCATGTGAGTGCTTAACAACATTTCACATTGAGTTTTGAAATTCTTTAAATTTTTTTGGAACAGTTTTGAAATTCTTTAAGTTTTTTTGAAATTCTTTAATTAAAAAAAATAAGTTAAATGATACTCCATAATGAATAGAATGCAAATTGCAAGGCACATTCAATAATAATAATTTAACATATTAAATAAGAAATTAGATACAAATGATAAAGATGAGAATAAAAATATTGATGTTAAAAATGAAAATAAGAATCATGGTTTAAGCGGCTTAATAAAGATTCAATTGTAGATGGCCGAACAAAATTGAATATCAGTTGTGAGAAGGATATTTTACATTTATAATTTTATCTATTGGGAAATTACTTAAATAAGAATAAAAGTGTGCATATCATGTTTTTATTTCTAAAAAAAAATTAATCACTGCCATGTTAATACTAGACTTTAAACAGAATAATTTTTTATCAACTTGACAGTGATTACTCCTATTAATGTAATAAAAACATGAGAGGTCTATTTTGTAATTCTTAAACATTTTTACTCCTATTTCGAAATTTTTGAATACTTATATATCATTTGTAGGTTAATTATTACCTCTTACAATCTGTTATGCGTACATTCAGTAGGAATCACATTCCTTCAATTTTTAATTACTTCATATTTTATTTTAGGGATAACAGTCAAATAGGTCCTCGAACTTTCATAAAAAGGTCAATTAAGTCCTTCTATAGGAGGTTCTGTCCAGTCGTCGCGATTTGGGGCAGTTCCCGGTGGAATTATTTGATGAAATTTTTTGAGAATCTTATTCACCAAGTCTAGTTTACTCATACCAAATTTCAGCTAAAAATTCAATCGGGAACACATTCAAATTAATTCTTGAAGATAACTGCGCATTGTTGCGTTCTCGAATTAATTTGAATGCGCTCCTGATTGAATTTTTAGCTGAAATTTGGTATGAGTAAACAAGACTTGATGAATAAGATGCTCAAAAAATTTCATCAAAAAATTCCATCGGGAACCGCCCCAAATCGCGACGACCTGATAGAGTCTCCTATAGAAGGATTTAATTGACTTTTTTATGAAAGTTCGAGGACCTATTTGACAGTTTTCCCTTTATTTTATTATTGATTTAAAGTATTGTGGAAAATTCATTCTTTGTCTGGGGAACAAAAATTCCCAAAGATGGCCCTGATTTCGGTGCAGCGGAGGTAGAAAATTAAGGCTCTGTTTGCAAACTATATTTATAAGTGCTTTTGGCTATTTTTTTTAAGAAAAAAACACTTATTTTACCAAACACTACCAACTTTTACTATATCGTTTTTTGTGTAGAATCTACTTTTTACTTTTTCTATTACACAAAAAGCACTTATTTTACCAAACACTACCAACTTTTACTACTAATCACTTTTTCCCAAAAAGTACTTTTATTTAAGCACAAGTGGTTGCAAACAAAGCCTAAAACCATTAGCTATTGGACTTGTAAATAATTCAGCTTCCACTATTATTTAAAACAAAACGATCTATACTTATATTATCAGCAAAAATAATCCGCTAAATTAGGCATTGCACACTTAAATCCTAATGTAACCGTAATAAGCTGAGCGAATTAAATTATGGAAGAGTGCAAAAGGATAGGTTTGTTTTATTCATAGCCTATTAATTATTGGAAATGAGGGTGCAATACAACGGGAATGTTTATAGGTAGATTCTATGGTACCCATAAGGTACCATACTTTTGTCCATATGGACAAATGAGAATGCAGAAGTTGAATTATTTAAATCTAAATTAAAAATGATAAAGTGATGTGGTCCAATCAAATGAATGATAGGTACGGTACCCCATATTTTAGAAAGGTACCGGAGTTGTCACCATGTTTATATGTGCATGTATGTCGGATCGAAGTGGTAATATATTAATTATTACGTGGCGAGATAGGATTGAATGTAACTAGCAAAACAAATACTATGTGGAGTGCTTGCAACTTTTTTATTATATTGTTTCAAAATAATTAAAGTAATAATTGAATAGTTTGAGGTTTTGTATTCAATGCATAATATGGAGTATAAGCTAATACGTTCATAAGTCGATGGTACAAATGTTTAATAAATAGAGTAATAATTAAATTCGGTAGAAGATATGCCACTTCTAAGTTAATATGTGCATATGTGCTTGTTAGAAGTATGTGAATATTTCCCTTTACGACGTACTACGTAGTAGTAACTAATGAGTATTGTTTTTAGAATTATTATGATGTGCATTGAGAAGTTTTATATGTGCATGAAAATGAAGTGATGAAAGTGGTAATTTATTTAGTGATGATAAAGGGAGGACTAAACTTGCAAATAGGTACATATACGTTATTATTGCAATGTTTATGTTTCTATAGCATGATTTTGGAACAAATAAAAAGTCATCTTCAATCTCATGAAAAGTAAAAAATAAATCGGGTGCATTAGTTCTAAGATCTAGTGGTTCTAAATATGTCACAAATGCGGTGACATTTTTGTTAATAAATCAATATTTTTCTTCTTTGTATAAAGTGGACTTCGTGTGTGCAATAATGTATCATAAATGATCAAAAGTGGATGACGTAAATTCGTAAAACATCTCAACGCAATATAGTGCACCTCACATGCTCAATAGTGGAGTCGTTCACACTTGTATAGAGATACTAGTTTTTATTAGAATCAGACCCTATCTATATATGCAAATGTGTCTATCTAGTATTTCAATATATTAGTACGTATTTAATGATTATTATTTTTGAACATTTATTTAGTGCAATAGAACTTTTTATATGCGCGCAATATAACTTAATAACGTATTTATAGTACAATAAATAGAATAAGTTTTATTTTTTCAAGGAACTATTAATAAATTGAATACAATGTATAGTACATAGGAATTAGAAATGAATGGAATAAGTTTTATTTTCTATTTATTTTGACAATACATGCTTCATTTTCAAATATTAATACTATCTATAATACATGATAAAATGAAAAGAATCGAAAGTCCTTTTGTAATCATATAAATGGAGATAGTGCGAAACGATGTTAAAATGAAGAAGAAGCAATAGTGAGGATCATGATCTGGGACATATGTTAAATAAAATTCTTACCATTACAGTATTTTCGGTAATTAGGACTAGTGGAGATTACATTAAATGCAATGGGAGTATTACTAAAATGCCCTTTTAAATGACTTTAAAATTCCATCCATCGATCCATCAACACATAAAGAGTATATGGTTGTGATGCATTCTCATTTTTCATGGGAAGATCACTTTTTATTTGATCGGAATTTTATATATAGATATATTCGGGTTATTTTAAACATTTAAATGTTAACTGTGTTTTGAGTCCCTTGAAATAAATATGAGATTTTTTTATGCAAATAAATATGAGTTTATAGCACTATTTATTTTATGTACTGCATTTTAACATGAATTTTAATAAGCACCGTTTAATAAGTTTAATTTTTGTTTGCCCAATTACCCATATTTGGGGAAATATATATCGAAAAAATAGTAATCCATGCCTCGCCAAGTCCCATTGTCCCAAAGACACAACCCACTAGGATCCTTCCATGCTACCTCCATTTATTGTAGACAGCAACCTCCGATTACTCAGCCAGTGATAGCTCGTATATATGTTACGGTTTGATGGGTGCATTTAACGCATACTTTATCAAATGCCATAAGTCTTGATGATGCGGCATGGAAGGGAGCTAGCAGATCAAATTAACGGATTAAAGTCAAAATTATGCATTCATTATTTCAACTTCCCATTTCATAGGCCGGTGAGTTCTACTTGAAAAGATGCACAAGCCCTCATTCTCAAATATCATCAAAATATATATCGTGCTTATTCTATAATTTAATATTAATACTCATTTTTTATAACGTTTTGTTCATCTTTTTAACATAAAATATACGGTTAGTTGTACCGTGTGCACGGTAGAGTCTGATATGCACTAATTAGTAGTGCATAAGTGTATGTTTTTATGTTTGATTTGTGTGGTTTGTTTACCGTTTTATTTAGTTTGTAAACATTTGTGTGATTTTAGTTGTAATTGTATTTTAATCTTCATTTGTAAGTTGTAAAGTAGAGTTAGGAATTAGGGTGTTGAAAAGGAGGACTTTGAAGTTAAGAAAAATAAGATTTGGCTGCCCAGAAGCAAAAACCCGACCGGGTACAATACTCCACCCGGTCGGGCATGACAAAGAATCAGAAACTGCTGAGAAAGTCACTAGACCCGGGCGGGTCACTTATTTGACCCGGGCGGGTCAGATGTGACCCGGAACACCAGAACATGCCGAAGATCGCCAGAACGTGGGAAATATTTGATTTTGACATTTACCCGGTCGGGTGGGCACTTGACCCGGTCGGGTAAATGCCCCAGGGTGTTGAAAATACCTATAAATAGCCCCATTTTCCTTCACTTTTCATCATCCCTTCTTCCATACTCTTAAGCTTAGTTTAGAATAGTATTTCTTTTATATTTTTATAGCATGTTTAGTCTCCAAATGAGGAGCTAAACTTCCATTTCTTGGTGTTGCTCTTGAAGCTTGTTGATTATTAAAGTTGTGAGTTATTTTCTTATCTTCTTCCCTTGAATATTAATTATTCTCTTAATCTATCTATATATTAATGTTGGGGAGTGTTGCTAAGATGACAATTAGTTAACATCTCGACATTAATTATGGTAGTATTTATTTTCTTCCTCTATATATTAATGTTGGGGAGTGTTGCTAAGATGACAATTAGATAACATCTTGACATTAGTTATAGTAGGATTATTCATATTTAATCTTCTTCCTTGAATATTAATTCTCCCCTTAATCTATCTCTATATTAATGTTGGGGAGTGTTGCTAAGATGACAATTAGTTAACATCTCGACATTAATTACTACTAGAAACGATCAACGAACCGATGGTTAATCGTTGATGGCTTCACAAGTAAGTAACTTCGATTTATTAATGCACGGTCGTGGTTAATAAACTTAAGAGGGATTAATTTTGTTGGTTAAACCGAAACCGTTGTGTTGAGGTTATCAATCTCAATTGATTTCATCAAGGAGTTAAGAGATTAAATGCTACTATTAAGTCGGTATATGGCGGTGTTCTATACTTGACTAATAGTAAGGGTTATTAATGAACGGTCGTTGTTAATAACTACCCTCGATGAATTGGATATACTCCTCGATTGAGTATTCGAGAGGGAATAAGTTATAGATATAACAATGATCGACTAAAATATATCAACAAGTGGAAAGTAGCAATGCCAAGTCCTCTTTATCTTTGAATTAAATCACATATAAGTTGTTCATCTTTGTGTTTAATCAAATTAAATCACTCAATCCTAAAACCCCCCTTTTATTTTACTAGTTTTATAAAAAGAGAATTATTTCCTTTCCCTGTGGATACGAACTCTACTACGCTATACTACGTATAAGTGTTAGTATTGAATTTATTTTGACGCACCGTGACAAAGTGCACGTCAGAGTCGGTTCCCAATATATATATTTTGCGCTGTCTTAATGCTTTTAGCTGGAATTCAACACTTCTATTCAAATCCTATTATTTTTTCAATGTTTTGGGACTATTTACAAACATTTCTATTCATCTCATCAAATGAAAAGATAAAAATAGTGGATTATGAACATTTAGAAAAGTCCTCTAATTAATTTTATCTTCAAGCAATTATGTATGGAATTCTAATTGGTCCACAAAAATTAATTTCAACAAAAGTTTCTTGTTGTTCTTTACAGAGTATAAGTTTAGTCACTTTATTAGACAAAGTAAAAGATAAGAGGTATGTAATACTTTGATTTTCTGCAAGTCTCATACTAATTACACTTGAATATTATCTTGTTCTAAATACCCTTCATCTCATTGATAACGTATGAGGCTAAATAATTGAATGATCAATTTACTCCGAATTATAGAGCCCGAGATACATTAATTTTGGGGGGAATGAAACATTCCTCGTCAAGATAGCCTTGCAAGAGTTCATTTGGTAGCACCAAAATCGGCTCTTTTTGCTGATTCTGCTGAAATTTATGATGTTCTGGCTGAAGTGATTGCATTGGCTGATTCTGTTGATTTAAGAAAAAATTATTTTTAAAATATATTTTATTATTAAAACAAAGAAAAAATTACCTGTAAAAATAGCTAAAATTATCAGCTACAGTAACTTCAGCCAATACAGCCAGAAAAGCAACTCTAACCTTACTTTTTCTGCTTATTACACAATCCGGTGCGCGAAAGCAAAAGTCATGTGTTTGGTGCAAAAGTTGACTGACTGATAAGCTTGATAAGCTGAAAAACATACTACCAAACGTCCCTAAATGTTTTATTTTAATTTCCACATCTACTTGGCTATTTCCTTGGCACATATTAGATGTACCCCTATATGTTTAATGGGCCCCACAGGATGAGCATAGAGTATGTATAGAACAAGTGTTGCTCCGTCGTATCGCCATCCGTCCATTCTACACTTCCTCTCCTAATGACAAGTGTTTATTTGAGCCAAGATAGATTATCCATCTCTTTCTCATTAATCAAAGTCCTTTAAAGGGACAATACACCGTCTCTTTGGTTGCAAAGATATATAGATAGAGCATATCAATGCCATTCATAAATAACCGTTGATGACAACCATGCTTACATTCATCCGTCTCTTATTAATGAAGCTCAATTTCTGATATATGGCCAATGGATGTAACGTATTCACTCATCAGTCATCAAGATGCTCCATAAATTTACATTTGATTCTCCAGTTTACGTCAACTTAACAAGAATAAAACAATAAAACTTTAGGTAAAAATGGGTAAGTCTTTTTTTTTTGAAGGAAAACTTATATATATTCAAACGATCCAAAGCAACAACAGAATGCCAAGAACTAAATCCCCCTCTAATCTTTTGAAAACCAAAGTCCATCGGGCCCCTCATGTTATGACCAGACATAGAATAGTACACCCTAGAAAGAGCGAGACTAATCGTTGAAATTGCGAGAGCATAGAGGCTATAGCGGCTGAATAAGCCTGATTGCCTCCAATCAGTAATCAATCTACCAACTAAAGTAAAACAAAACACCCACCTACCCCGCTTATTGTTTGACATAGTAGGAACAAAATAGAAATAAGAAAATAGTCTGGACTGAAAATAAAAAACTAGAAAGAGTAAAACAGTCTTCCAAACCCTATTTGCGCAAATCCTCCATGGCGGCGGTTCACAAGGGGGGCGGATTTTCGTCACTTCATGTTCTTCCTTCTTTGCTTCGAACTGCCCGTAGTCAACCAGACCGAAACCGAGCCACCTCCACATCCCTTTCCAGAGCAATCTTCCCCGTCTTCGTTCCTCCATGGCCTCCATCGTCCCTGTCTGACGTTGACCAAACAGACATGTTCCCATACACAGACAAAAACTGCCCACCAACGAATCTGGTTGCACAAACGCAGTAGGAATCAAATAGCTTCGAGAACGAACTTCGCCAGAAGAGAATCCCTCCACGAATCTCGTCCTGCGCTCCAGCCGACCTCTTGCTAGCGAACACTCGAACGCTCTCGCCGTGATAATCACAGCGCCACCCGCCAAATTCCGCAGACGCTGGTTGAAAACCCTAGTTGTGCCCTTCCGGTAAGTTGATCAAAATAAAGTCAAGAATATATTGGGTAAGTCTTTTCATGAAAAGAAAACAATAATATAGTACCAATATTTGAAAAATATTAAAACTTTTCCATTTTTAATTTATTTGGTGAATGGTGTTAAATTTTGACGAACGTATTATATTAGTGTTCTTTGTCAAAAATACTTAAGGAATTGTCATTAAAAGAAGTAACAAGTAACAAAATTTGCGAATTCTAAAATAAAAATGTTATATTTTTAATCAGTAAATATGATAATTGTTGTCATATTTTGGACATTAACATACTTTAAATATGACAGTATTTCTCAAACATGATACTAATTATTCATATTTACATAATAATAACGTGACAGTACTACGACTCATGAATTACTCTAGAGGATACAACATTTTTACTCTTATTTCGACAATTTCCAAAAATAATTTTACAAAAGTCTAAAACTTGTACCAATGTTACACAAGAACATGAAAATCATGGGGGGAAATCAGGGAGTAGCAAAACAACTAGATGGAAAATTACTACGGAGTAAAGAGTTTCTGCAATGTACTGTTTTCCAAGAATTTCCTTGTTTCAGGCAAAAGATATACTCCCTCCGTCCCGGAAAATTGTTCCTACATCAACTTGGAACGGAGTTTAAGAAAGTGGGAATAAAGTGGAAATGTATGGTTGTGGTCATGGTTCTAAAAATCACTCTAGGCGCCCAACTAGTCCCCGCCTAGGCGCTAGGCAGTAATCGGGAGCCCCGATTTTAGTCTAGGCGCTCCGACTAATTGATTTGGCGCCTAGGTGATTTAGTCGGGCGCCTAAGGCGCCTAACTACTCGCCTAGAGGGCTTAATCGGCCGCCTAGGCATCTAGATTCATCGCACATTTTATTTTGCCTTTTATTTTAGAGATATTACCCAAAATGGGACTAAAAAAGTTTGAAAATTCCAAAATAGGACTTCCATGCTTTTATTCCCAAAATAGGACTAATTACTGCCATGTTTTGGCAGTACCAGACTTCAAACATAACAATATTTTCCAAATTTGGCAGTAATTAGTCCTATTTTGAGAATAAAAACATGACAGTCCTAATTTGGAATTTTCGAACTTTTTTAGTCCCATTTCGGGAACTTTCCCTTTATTTTAGTATTCTAAGAGATATATGTATCTTCAACTCTAACAACGCATATGAAGAAAGCTACTAGTTGTAGATTTAAATATATGACATACATGTTTTTATATATATTCTTAAGTGTTATTATTATTTATCAATAACTATTACGTAGTATTACTTGAAGTTAAGAAGCATGTATAATATTTTATTAAATGTGAAAACTATTATCATTCATGCATGTTAGTGTGTGTATGTGTGTGTTTATATTTTATATACACATAAACACAACATTACTAATCATATTTATGCAAAAATATTAATAAAACTATAATTTCTATGTCTCCGATTAATCCCCGCCTAGGCGCCCGCCTAGCCGCCTAGGCGCTAGGCGCTGTGCTGACGCCCGATTAGCGCCTAGCGCCTTTTAGAACATTGGTTGTGGTTGAGTAAGAAAAAGGAAAATGAATTGTAGCTACAAAAAACTTTCCAAAAGGGGAAAGTGGAACAATTTTTTGGGACGGCCCAAAAAGGAGACCGGGAACAATTTTCCGGGACGGAGGAAGTATAATCAAGACTGCTTATTACAAAAGTTTTTAGTACGGAGTAGACTAGTAGAGGGAATCAGGGAATACCATTTACTCTTATACAATGTTTTTAGTACGGAGTCAAAGTTTAATACGGAGTACAAAGCTAAAAAATGTTAGATTTATAAGAATAGAGGGAATCAGGGAATACCATTTACTCTTATCAAAAAAACTTCTCCTTCCCTGTCCAGCAATTGGAGCAGATGAATAGAGGAGTTTGGCCGGCTCATATTTAAACCCCATTTATGACGTTCAACTACTTCTTCCATATGCATATATACCAGCTGCTGCTGCTACTCTTATCATTACATACTCCTATTCACCCAAACACAAAAAAGGAAAGAAAAAAAGAGGAGAAAATGGTGTCAATGGCAAAGCAGCCGGACGGTGGTCTAATCTACAACTTGAGGCTGTCTTCGGTTGGACCGGGGCAAGTCACGGGCCAAGACGAGGTGTACGAGCCCACTAACGTGGACTTAGCCATGAAGCTTCACTACCTAAGAGCGGTGTACTACTATGAGAGGGAGGCCTTTGATGGGCTGGGCGTGCTGAAGATCAAGGAGCCGCTGTTCACGCTGCTGAACCACTATTACGTGGTTTGCGGGAGGTTCAGGCGGACCGAGTCGGGCCGCCCGTTCCTCAAGTGTAACGACTGTGGGGTGAGGTTCATTGAGGCCTCTTGTGACAAGAGTCTGGAGGAATGGATTGAGATGAAAGATGCTGGGCTTGAGAGGCTTCTTAGTCCTAATGGAGTCATTGGTCCAGAGATTTTCTTCTCTCCCCCTGTTTGGCTTCAGGTACCTAAGCTACCTTCTATTTCCCTTTATGATATGATAAAAATCACAGAATCAACTTACATTCAATGCGTTTAATTGAATTTAAATTTAATAAAAACTTAAAGGTTGTTATCCTATGGTACTATCTGAATTCAAGTGAATGCACTTAAAGTTTATTAAGATAAAATTTAACCTCAATAAATATGTTGATACTTCTTGAACTCTGACTTGGGGATTCTCGGTCTAAAACTGAGTTATTGGAGGTAGATTTTTGTAATTTCTCTGAAATATACCTAAATTTTGTTTAGAATTATGTTCTTTGTCACAAAATGAAAAACAATCAGGTTGAAACTAAAGTTAAAAGTAAATCAACTTAGATTCTTCTTGGAAAAAACATACCTTTAATTATATTTTTTTGTGCCCCATACTTCACTAGCTCACTTATCAATATTTGAAAGAGAAAAAAAACTACTCATAGGTTTTGGTGAGTTTTATCTTGCTACACCACTAATAAAGAAACTCTCATTCACTAATGTGAAGTTCATAATTTCACAAGATTCTTAAAATGAAATAAAATGAAATTAAGATCTAGATTCAAACATTAAGAGAACAATTTGATCTCTAAGAAGAGTAAATCTATTCAGTGGCAAAATAAAAATTAGAATATCTGGTAAAAAGTTGTGTAATAGAAAAAATGAAAAACAATTTAATTGATTTTCATCCGCTTCAAATTTTTAGCTTTAAAATGCTAAATGATACTTCAAAACACTACTTTTGAAAAATTTAAAGCTAAAAACTATAAAAGCACTTTTTAATCCATGCAAAACACTACTTAAGTATCCAATTTATGTATGCGTGTGCAATTTTGCAGTTGACCAAATTTAGGTGTGGGGGAGTATCGTTGGGCCTGAGTTGGTCGCATATTCTTGGCGATGCATTCTCTGCTGCAAAATTCATGAATATGTTCGGAAAAGTCATTTCCGGAATCGAACCTGAATGGCTGATCCGTTCGGCCCAATTAATGACTAAGGACCTGACCCACCAAGATGTTGCAAAAACAGCAAAAGATCCGCTATCCATCAAGAAGGTAAGCCCAGTTGGAGATCATTGGAAGATAACGAACAATTGCGAAATGGTACCATTCACGTTCTCCATCACCCCATCACAAATGGGCCGCATAAGGTCCATAATAGGAAACTACGGTCCATTTGAGTTGATATCGTCGATCATTTGGCGGTCAGTAGCCCGCAACAGAATTGGGCCTGAACCCAGAGTGGTGACAATATGCAAGAAAGGCCCACAGGCCCGCAAAAACAGCTATGTGAGCAACGACCAGCAGATCTGCACTGTGAAGGCCGCCGACTCCTCCTCCTCCGTCAGGGAAGCCGATCTGCCGGAGCTGGCGAAATTGCTGAAGCATGAGGCTACGGACGAGCTCCGAGAGATCGACGAGGCGGTGGCGAGCGACGGCGGCAACTCCGATTTCGTGTTCTACGGGGCGAACTTGACGCTCGTCGACATGGATTACGGCGAGTTCTACGAGCTCGATTGGAGAGGGCACAAGCCAGTCTACGTAAGCTATCAGATCGACGGCGTTGGGGATGAAGGCTGCGTTGTGGTGCTTCCGGGACCAGGCGACGGTGCGGAAGGAAGGGTTGTGACGGTGGTTTTGCCGGAGAATGAGGTGACGGCCTTGAAATCCGAGTTGAGGAAGGAGTGGTCGATTGCCTAATCAATTGATTGAACAGAAATACATCAACAACCTTCCTCTGTTTAAGTGAATTAAATCCAGTGTGTTGTTTACTTTGAACCATATTTGCATTTGTTTGGATGTATTCTTTGGGCTGAAATTTATGGTAGAATTATGCGTTTCAAATGTTATCTTGGATTCCAATAATATCCAGAGAATTTACTCTAAATGAGACTAATTAGCTTTCTTAATTTCAAAAAGGGATTCTTTTACTTCCTTATTAAAAATGAGAATCAATCTATGTTCCCTTCGTCATTAATTGAGAAGAAATCAACCTTTTAATTTAATCGTTCATTCACATTAGTTGAATTTCAAATCAATCAATTTCGCACATCGCATTTATTTTATTTATTTCTTTTTAATCGCAGAATTTAGTTAATCTTTAATTCCCTTTTGTCTGTCCATGTAGAAACGATACTCGTACTTTTCACCATTATTTTCCAATCTTTTTAAGTGCGAGAAAACTCGCATCATCCAACAATCTAGATAACTCCATATAAATCTCATATTGTCACAAATATAAAAAAGTCTCAATAAGTCTCAAATGAATACACCTCGCTAAGACCATTTGGAGTGGTGAGGTATTAGGAGTCCAAAATGTTAAAACTGATATTTTTGGACTCCTAATTTCATGCATTTGTTGATTGAAGAGAGTATTAAAAATGGATTTGGGGATGGAAGGGATGACACCCATCCCTGAGGGCCCCCAACACCGATCGGACGACACGATGGAGGGATGTAAATTGGACTATAATCACAATCTGACAAATAGAGAGTAGGGCTCCGTTCCCAGTACTTACAGAGAACCCTGTGCATTTTTTGCATAGTAACATCTTATCGCAGTTGACGGGATTCGAATTCGGGACCTAACCCTTGTGGCACTCTCTCACTACTAATTGAGCTACGCTCACCAGCAGGTTTGAGGAGGGAAGGGGTTATATTTCGAGGAATTTAGACAGTCAAAAAGAAAATGAAAAAGAAATAAAAAAAGGTGGCGGATGGCAAGTGTGCACAGGGGAAAAAGAGGCCAGCTGGCCAAGTGCGCAGGGAATTAGGATGTTTTTACTTGTACTGTAATTTGCCCTAGACCAGACCAGATCAGACCAGTTCAGACCAGACCAGACCAGACCAGACTTGGATAGTTATAAAAATACAAAGAAACCAGACCTTACCAGATCAGACCAGACCAGACCAGTTCAGACCAGATCAGACCAGACCAAACCAGCAAATTACAGTCCAAGTAAAAACATCCTTATTTGCTCAGCTGATGTCATGATGACGTCGTGCTGGTGTCACACAGCACCCACAATGTTTCTTTTTTTGAAAATGGTAGATCCAACGGCTGTGATGATTTGGACACTGATAGAATGGGAAAAAATTGATCCAAGGGCTGAAATTGAATTCCAACGGTTAAAATAATTTATTTTATTATTCTATTATTTTTAATCAATATTTTATCCGAAAAAAATATTAATGAAATTTATTTATTTTTACATCGAAATGTGTCTTTTTTATTTAATAATTAATCAAAGAAAAAATTAAAAGGAAAACATTACCCATAATAATTTAATTAATGTTTTACTAAATTGATATGTAAAAATATGTGCAGAGTTTATTTTATTGACGATGCAGGAATGCAGAGAAATAAGGGTCAAAACACTGTTTTCATATCGACGAAGTCCATTTTTGACATTTAGACTTTTGCACAGTTGCAACACTCCAAATGGTCTAAATGCCACATAGGCATCATGTGTTATACGAAGTACTATTATTACTTATATCATACTCCCTCCGTCCCGCTATGATTGTCCCATTTTACCATTTCAGTCCGTCCCACTAAGATTGTCTCATACCTTATTTGGTAGAGTTTGTGTGGTTCTAAATCATTCCTACTTTATTCTTACTTTTTCAATTCAATATCAACCACATAAACCCACTTTTATTAATAACTGTGGCACCTTCTCTTGTCCCAAACTTAGGGGGACGGAGGTAGTACGTAGTAATGTACAATATACATGTGAAATACTCCCTCCGTAACATTCATATCTTCCCACTTTCCTTTTTTGGACGTAACATTTATATCTTCCCATTTCTAAATCTTCACATCATACCCTCAATAATTTAAAAAATAATACATTACTACACCTACTTTTTTTGAATTTATCCTTTATTCCATCACATTATTTCACCATCTTCCCATCATACCCTTAATAATTCATACTACATTTCACTATTCTTAATCTCACCCACTTTAGAAGTGGGAAGATATATGTGATACGGAGGGAGTAATAAGATTGCTCTCATGTTTTAAGAGGGATATATAAGCATATATCCAGCTTTAAGAGGGATATATAAGCATATATCCAGCGGTGTTCCAATGTTGAACAAACCTCAAAGGAGTGAAAGTGCAAAAACAGCCATGTGAAATACTTGATATTATGTGTGAGGGAGAAAGGAGAAAACTGAATAAGCAGAGGGGATAAATATCTTCCGGAGAGAATCACATATTTATACATTTATTTTAGAGTGATTCTGACTCTTGGGAAGGAAAAATGATGAATGAAAACCTAAGTTTCTTATCTTCCTAAATTTGATTACTAGAAGCAAAACTACTATACACTACCGATATACATTAACATCATTTTGATTAGGACGAGTCTTCATCCCTTTGCCTACGCATTCTAGCTCCCCAAGATGTACCGCCATTGGAGTCCTTAAATTTGCTTCTTCTCTTTAGTTCAGAAAGTTGAGACTGCCATCGAATACTCCATTCAACGTCCACTTCTATTGGCTAAAAGAAGAAAGAACAAAACAGGTTAGTTTTAGAAACCGTAATAATGCTGAAAGTGGTCAAATCACCATTTTTTTGGCTGAAACTTCATTTACCAAACACCCCTACATGTTTGAAATTCCCAAAATAGAATATCATTCCTGTTCTAGCCCTCCTATTTTTATCTCCTCTTTCTGCTCTTCTGATCAGGATTCCCCTCTTCTTCATTTTGGATGAGGGCATTCAGTTCATTACTTCATTGTACAAGTTATTTCAACTCAGTTTAACCATACTCTTTTTTCAACTCTAAATTGCTATTTACTATTGTTCCTACTTACTATAATAAGTCCAACCAACACATGAACTTAAACTTCTGCTTAGTTCCTTACTTCTAAATTCTTTTCACATAAAATTGTAATTTCACTCCCACATAATTCTTGCGCATCAACCAACAAGCCGTAAAGAATGGTCAAACAGCAAAGCTATCATTAGAATGTGCACAAATACTTAACATATGCTTTTTTTTTTTTTTACTTTTCTTGATCTGTACAAACTCCTCTTACTGTTTATCGAATTATCACCATCTTTCTATGATTCTATAAGTTTCCAAAACCAAAACTATTGTAGTTCCTGTAATTAATGCGGCCAAGATTAAAGTCTCAGAGAAAAATGCCTCATAAAGTAACTTTCTTTAATCACAAAGGTATTAAATACGCAGTAGGAAGTACTGTATCACACAATTCAACACAATTGAAGAAAATACCGAAGAAAAATTGGGGAACAAACCTTATTTTCACGACGCCTACGTGATGAAAAGGCGTAGTTGAGGCCTTTCGCGATATCTCTGTCATACAGAGCCCTTCTCCTCGGATCCGACAGCGTCTCGTAAGCCTCCTGGACCCGAATGAATCTCCGGGTATGCTCCTCGACCCGGTCCGGAGGTGAGACGTCGGGGTGATACTTCCGGGCGAGCTGCTTGTACGCGTGTTTGATCTCCGGCAGAGAGCCCGTCTCGGATATTCCCAGAAGGTCGTAGAAGGAAGCCGGGTCGGCGGACGAGGAGACGTCGTTAAGCATGGATCGGACTTTGATGGGCGCTATTTGCAGCCGGGGATGGAAACGCTTGACAGGAAAGAAGACGGCAGGAAACGGGTCGGGTTGGAAAGTCGAGAAGGGAGGAAGAGGGGAGAAGCGAAAGTTGCTTCTTGATAGTGTTATGCCGTAGGAATTGCTGCACATCTCTCTTTCCGCGGGTTTAGTTAACCCTCAAACGGACTTTGTTGGAAAATAGAATTGGGTTTGGAATGGATAGAAGTTAGAGGTTAACATTAATTAATTGTAATTTGATGCCTTACCCTTAATAGATTGGTTGGCTGCTTCAACAAGTTTGAAATTATAATACAGTACTATGTAGTTGTTGGTGGCATTTTGTCACGAAAGACGGCATCATATTAGACGTAGTAATTTGCATAGAGCATGATAGATCTGACTAAAACAATTAGGGGTGTTTGGAACTGATTCTGCTTCTGCTTCTTTTTTAAAGCAGAAGCAGAATCAGAATCAGTTTTCAGAAGCTGGTACTCACAGCTTCTAAAAAAACTTATTCTAAGAGTAAATTAGAGCACCAGAAGTGCTTCTAGAATTTCACCCAAACACTCCATCTTCTGCTTCTGTTCCCTGAAGGAGCAGAATCAGTTTTGAGAATCAGATCCGAACACCCCTAAATCGTAAAATAGGTTTTGCCGTTTTGGTATATTACATGGTATTCGAACCGTCTACGTTTGCATCAATAGAATAATTTATACTAATAATAAATGTCAAATGTATTAATGCACGTACACGTTTAAATTAGTGCACAGACCAAGTCCTGGAAGATTGTGAGACCAATGATAATTGTTGAGTGATGGAAAATGTGATTAAGGACATACAAGTAGTAGGGGTGGGAAAAACCGAATCGAAACTCAGAAACTGACCATCACTGGCGGACCTGGTGTTGTTCAAGGGTGTTCACTTGAACACCCTGAATTTTAAAGAACCAGTAACTAGAACTAGGATCTTTGCTGCAGTTTGATAATATTAGCGTCGTTTTGAAGATTGGATCCTGAGACTACCGATTCAGCCCCCCTATAAAATCAATTGCCCAAATCCTCGCACGTATTCGAGTGCCACTACAAATATTTCAATCTTTTCACCCTTATTTAGCAATCTATGCTCCAAATATCTACCCTAACCCGAGTGTGTGAAGTAGACGATGAATGGCAGAATGATGCTTGAGTTTAGGATCTGAGGTACTCGAACAAATGGTAAACTCACCGCCTCAATTAACCATGATGGACATTAGCATAGAGAAAAATCTCCTTAAATCTTATCCTGTGTGAGCTGTCTTTTTTGGAGCAGACTCAGCATAGTGATTAAATGGCCGCCTCATTTGAGAGAAATGTATTCTTGATTATCAATAGCAACGAAATTTAGATCTTTTAAAAAATAGCAGGAAAAGTAAAACGGTGTA